ATTACATCGCAACGGGCTGAAAAAGAAACGCACTCGGATCGGCTATTTGTAACCTGGGTAAACAACAATTGTAGTAGAACAAACTGATTTTTCAAAAATCAATAACGGTTCGTTCTGGTGCGTTTAGAATTACCAAATTAGCAAATCAATTATTCAAATGATGATAAATGCCTAATACAAAACAAACCTTAGACCAAAAGGAAAGTCAGAATAGATACCTGTTGGTCCACAATCGCCGCACCAATTTTCTGTAACTGTGATTGGCTGTCATAGCCCGCTAATTCCCATGCCAAGGTGGGATTCAGATGCGAATCTAGAGTGTGGAACTGTAGCGTTCGGTTGGTTTTGCAAGCCAGCCGATCGGCTACGGAAGTCGGTGGTACTCCACTCGTCCTGGAAGTCTCGTGCAACAGAAGACCGGGAGCATCTATATCGTTCGGAATCAGGGGCTTATAAGCAGATTGAACATGTAGATGGAGCCAACGGCAGCAAGTCAACTGCATGTATTCCACCGTGAGAGCACTGTCTGTAGATCTGGTTGCTGAAGATCGCGGAGGTTCATGAGCAGACAGCTTGCGCAGCAATTCGAACGCTGTGTGCGTTACCGCTTAGAGGGTAAAGATGGTGATCGGACGTAAGTCTCACGAACCAATGAATGTGTAAATGCAGCTGCATAGAGTTTTATTAATGCTGATAATAGGAGAAAGCAGATTGTTTCTCTTACATGAGCATCATGTAGTGTAGAAATTAGATGGAGTTAAAACTTAACATAGTATGTGCTATGTGCGAAACAGTTTCTACGACCATGCATATGCAATGATAAAATATCCAAAATTGTGACTACGAAGCCACAAGTCTACGTTATTTAACCGATTTTGTGAGCGTTTATAAGACAGTTCAGTAGCAAAAGTAAAATCTTTGGGATTCGAACAAATGCACGCATGCCAGAAACTTTCCACCAGAATACTCCTGGACCCATCTCACCCTCTGTACTCTCATCTTAGTACATGTATCTCTACATCTAGCACTCGCTCCAAGTATAAGCATATAGCAGCACGCACCACAACATGCAAGTCTTCTTTAATACCGCACTTGGCACGGTTTCTTACTAACACTGATCTTGTCATTGGGACCCTTAAACACAAACTTTGCTAAATTTGCCTTCTTTGTTTCTATATGCAGAGTGTCATCATCCTTTTTGTTTTTTACCACGCCCGTTCCACAGAGGAATGGTTGTGTAGTAGCTGAATGTTCATTCCCTATGGAGTGAATTAAAGTCGCTTCTTGACTTGACTTGACTACATATATTTAATCAAAGGTGAAAAGATCATAGCTGCCGGTGAGTAGTCGTGTCGGAGCTGGTAGATCGCGTGCTATACATGCGTGCTGCATCTATGCGTGCTGACCTTCAACCCAACAAATTATACTATCGGCAAATAACGACACTTAAGTGTTGCGGAAGCGCTCACAGATCAGAAACAGTAAACTAAAATATGCGACAGAACTCAGCGACAAGTTGAACATTTATTCACTGATGCACGAATAGCAACTTTTATAAGCCATGAGCCACCAGAGGCTTAATATTAACTGTTCCACGCGCGTAGCAACAAGAATCACAGGGATTTATGTGGCCCACCAGTGTAATTCACAGGGTCAAGGTTGCCGATGACTCCAAGAAAACGCCCTCCAATTTCAAACGCTGTACTGTTTCATACGATCAAACCTGAAGCATGCTTTTCCGTTTTCACAGCTATTAGCCTCACAATTTTCTGAGGCGGTTTTGGTTGCTGCTTTTGGCTTATCTAGATGGTTTACTAATGCGGAAGGATTACATTGAAGGGTTTAAGACGAAGAGCTTTGTTAAAATAACGATTTGGAAAGCGCATGACTTAGATCTGCATAGTACGAGTGTAGATGCATGAGTGACACTGGTTATGAAACCCAGCCATATCACTCAGTATCTCAGACCACTGATTGAGTTTGGTCACAAGACATTCAAACAGGAAACTTGATGTGACCTATGTGACCAAGAGCCCTGACCGTACCCTCATGCCAGCCGTTATTCTATCCACTTCTTGAATTTCTTCGGCAACTATCTGCTTCAACAAACAGCTTCCGCCAAGGGAGTCTACTGAATGTCGTGAGTTGAGATTAGTTCCGTTTGTACAACCATGAACTTTCGTGCACCGGTCTTGATAGCTATCTCATGACTGTTCATTTACAGGAAACAGAAGGAGAAAGAAAAGGCTGAATATAGAATCGAAGAGAAAACGGGAAATTTCAGTGAACCAAAGTCGCAAAGAAAATGAGATGCACGAACAGCACTGCTTAGGACACTCAGCCATACCACTTTACGTATCGAACCAGTGATTACAATGATCCCGAGATCTCCATCCAGGAAGCCTAACGGTACCTATGTGCCCTGTCAGGAGAAGCCTAACCTTCTCCTGAGAATCCTCACTATATGAATTAGAACTGGATTGGGACCAGTCGCTACAGTCTGAACGTGTCGGCATTTTCTCGATCGTACGGGATACGTGTGAGTCAGAGTAAAAGTACAGAGCACAGTGACCTGATTTTTGGCAAGTCCGCTTTGGCCACCCACGTAACTCCCATTTCGGACAAATATCTAGACGGTGAGCAATCCCATAAATACTACACGTTCTCTTTCACTTACTTGAACAGGACCAGGACCACGACCACATTTGGGCTGGTGATATTAATAAAGGCTCGCACTGTCTTTTTGCTAGAATCGTTGGGATAAGCATCACTAGACCAGGTTCAGTGATGGTTCGGCAAGACATAACATGCTCGAACCTAGTGGTTAGGATTTCGATACCCTCGTATCAAGTCTTAGATTGACCACTACCTGCCTCGGCAAAAATCGCGTACTATGGCAATCTATTAAACTGGCATATGCTTCAACCAACACAGTCTAGAGAGGTCGATCACTTGCTCCAGTGGGCCACCGTGGTTACCTAAAGCTCTGTGTCGAACCTCATAATTGATGATCCGGTTGCCCCACCAGAATCGTTCAATGCTGCATAAACACTACTGTTCGACAATTGACTGTCTGCCTTTCTGTTTTGCTAACGGGTAAGCTTTTGCGTTGTATAGTAGAACTGGCCGGACTGCTGAAGCATACACTCGACCCTTAATGGACAGACGGATGTCATGACTGCGCCAAAAATCTATCAAGTCGGCAAATGAAAATCGAGCTTTCTGTATGCAGGCTGACGCTTTATCTGTGATGCGTCCGCCACGTGAGAGGTTGCTGCGCAGGTAGCAAAATATTTTGACTTCCTCTACCGCTTCCCCAGTTGGAATGATATGGGGTGCTGGACCAAACCAGTACCAACATTTTATGCTTTGAAGGTGCAAAACGCATACACTAGCACGCAAACAATTTAGAATAGCTTGCAACTTACCTGGATCTTCACTTAAAGGCACAACATCGTCTGCATACTCCAGACCAGACAGTTTGCTATCTGGGAGCAAATCGATGTCGCTATCCCTGCATGAGGATAGGGCTGTTTCCATAAACAGATCTATAACAAAGTTAAATAGAAAAGGGGAGAGAGAGAGCAATCCTGATGAACACTACTTTCTGCGGTGAACTCGGGCTTCGGCTATTAGTATAAAGGGACCGTACTATTGAAATAAACTTCTCGGGCACCTTTCAGAGAGTGACAGTGTCAGAGTTTAGAGCGGTCGACTGAGTCACAGGTGGCTTTCAGATCGAGGAGGACAGAGATGGTAGGTAAACGGAAAGAATGTCGGTGCTCCAGAATTTGATGAAGAGTGAAAATCTGGTCGATAACGCATGCTCTAGTCATCATAAACTATGGGGATCAAACAGTTGCTTAATTGCACGACCACAGTTACCTAATATTCTACACATTACCCCTGCTCTGTTTGCCAGGTTGCCCTGACAGAGTCGTGTAATGCGGTACAGACAGCGCCAATCGAATGTTAAATCCCTGAACTTTCCCAATAGAGATGAAGTGTCTGTACTATGTATCGCACTGGCCTGACAGCTGCAGCATACACCTGAATCTTCTCAGACAGCTGGATGTCGCGGTGGTGATACATGCCACAAATTGGTAAATGTCCACAGAGCCTTTTATAGGCGGTTTAACGCTACCTAAAATTAATCTTTCATGTGAAATTTAGCACGCTTTTGAAATGATCAGAGCGGTGGATGTAGTTTCTAGCTCATGTGGTAAAACGTACGTTGCGGACAAGCGTGAGCGGCGCAAATGCATGAGTTCGAATATCACCCAGGTTCCTAATCTCTTGTTGTTAGAATACATGGAAAGATAATCCTCAGTGTCTTTTTTGTTCCATGTATAACCGTCGAATTTCCAAGAACAGAATCATCCAGTTGTGTTTTCACCTCAACAGAACAGTAGTGTGTGATTATAGGGTTCGCCCTGTTTTTTACACCTCATGCTTGCCCAACAAACAAAAATGAAAAAGCAGATGCTTGTGACACAGATGGAACATACCTTCGCGCGTTGAACTGTTTGTTAACAACGATTGAATCTCATCCATCGCCCGCATTAGCGAGTTCCGTTTGTCTTCATCGACAGATTCCGTGCCCTTTGAACCGGGTGGATTGTCCTCTTTGATACCACATATCTGCGTGGGTGATGCTCCAAGAAAGATACTGATTTTTCGCATCCAGTGAGGGCAAACTGAAGCCGTCTGAAGACGATGTTTTCGTGCCTCGAAAGCCATTGCATGGAGTAATTTATGCGCCTCCTTGCCCATTGTGCGCAAACTACCCGAATTGTTCTGTTGAACTGTGGTGAAAGCATTGTTTGCGCATGAGGTGTAAGCCAGTTGAAGCGATCGAAGCTGAGATGGGTGGTAGAAAGTGAGAAAAACGACAGGACAATGGAAGAGGGAGAGAATTAGTTGAGAAAGTTGGGAAGCAACAGAATGATAGATATAGGCGCAGACAAAAGCTTTAAGAAAAAAAGAATAATGGAGGAAGTAATTAGGGAAATGAAGATGAGTACTGTCTGAACGGGGAGAGATGTGTCCCAGACAAAAATAAAACCAAGAGGGGAGAAGAAAGGAGAACGTGGTATACAGAATTACCATTTCTATTTGAACCACGAATGTTAGTGAGGGCTATGGAGTGCTGTGAGTTCGAATGTGAAGTATGCATTCTGTGATTTCTGAGTTGTACAATTTATTTGTGGCGTGAGAGAAGACCGGTAACCCAACCCTCAGACTTCGAGTGATAAACCACATAAGGCCTCTGAAACAATACAACGTATATCGCTTTTCTGGCCCATATCCCCTCTTCCTTTTTCAGCTTCTATATGTACGCTGTATGCTGAATAAAGCCTAATGCATAGGCCTTCTTCATTCTGGTTTCTGGTGCATCCTGCATTTACACCACAATTTATTTAACATACAACAATGGATCGAATATTGCAACTCGAACGGTTCGATGTTGAACAGAGCTCACAAGATGCTACCGGTCAGTGGAACCATTGGTACAGAATCTCTCAGTCGCCTCAAGTCAGTGGGTAGTTTACAACCCGAAAACTGGATACGTTGACTTCATACATATCTGCTGTCTACGAACATATCGTGGAATGTGAAACTAAAGAAATAGCAATGAAGACCCTGAATAACCCGTATATGTCCCAAAAATGAGGTCTTTATCTGTCACATCCTCGGCACAGTCAAACAGGACAATGAACAAACTCTACATCAGTTTAAACCCCAGCATAATTCCAGTTACAGGTCCACTACCCCCGAGGAAAACGCAGATGCACTTATGAGTGGAATTCAATCTAGCCAGATCCGCCAACGCATAGTGGAAAATCAGTTTCAGTTCAGTTTCTACGACCATTAACCATGCATTATCGTGCGCCGGTATTGGTTGCTGTTTTTTGGCTACCCATTTGGATGAACATGAGGAGGAAGACAGGAAAGGTTGAAAGTAGAATCGAAGAGAAAATTTAG